TTCCCAGGCTTTTTTTCTTTTAAATTTCTTTCACCACACAGAAGTTTAGAAATATTATAAACAGTCAAATTAGCTAATCTTTCCCAGTATTCTTTGCCACTATATTACACTGCCAAGGGAAGGAGTGACAACTGTATCTAGAGGATGACAGTTAAAAAACAGGGAAGTTTTCTAAAAATAAAAGGTTGTGGATATGAGAAGAATAAAAGGAAGAATCTTTCTCCTAGGATAAATAAAATTGCTCAACCCCTACTCTAAATAAGCCCTGGATGGTTGAAGTATGTTACGCACAAGAAACTAGGGCAGGGAAATACCAGATTACTTCTGGAATGCCCTGCCAAGCTCAGGGTGGTAGAGACAGGCTGGGCCTTTTGCCTAAGCCCTGGCTGCAGTTCTTGGGTGAGAGGGTCAATATGAGGGAAAGAATCCCCAAGGTCTGTAAGAGTAAGGACAAGCCAGGATTGGGTAGAAGTATCAGAAAAGCCTTCCCTCTGGATTACTGCCTGGAAGACTGGAAGCTCTCACAGGGACAGCCTCTGCCAAAAGCTTGGCCCGGGACTGTGCACCACTTTGGCAACCTTCAGTCAACATGCACCAACTGCAAACCAAATTACAACATCTCTAAGTATAAAAATAGGATGCTTCCCTGTGTTTTCATCATATTCATATGGAAGAATAAAAAATAGCACAGACAAAACCTCAGGACTGCTTGTCACACTGGACTGCAAGCAACTATGTTTGTACCTGGGGTGTCTCCAGGAGCACCTGGAGACAAGGTTCCAGCTACTGTTTCCACAATGATCTCCATGTTCCCAGGGCCCTCTTCAGTTGCTGTCGCCTCTACCAGCAAGCAGCCTGGGTCAGCAGGCAAAGGTGTGGAGTCCCCAGAAGGACAGGGGCTCTGGACAGGCCCCAGGATTCCACGGTTAGAGAGAGGTGGGGGGATCAGCAATAGCTCAGGGCATAGTCCATCCATCTCCCCAGTGCTGTTGGCTGGCTGTGAGTCCAACATAGGGTCTGTCATCACCACCAACTTGTGTGCTGTGGCCTTTTAAATGCTGATAAGCCAACCAGAAGAAAAACAAAATATAGTTAGAGCGCTTGCTTTCTTCCCAGTTGGTGCAGGTACACAGCCCAGTGCCCACCCACTCAGGAATTTCCTTTCATGACAGCATGCCACACCGTGTTAACTTAAACAGAGGCTTTCTTTCTATGCCTGTGTTCATAACAAAAAGCATAAAAATGATAATAGGGTCAATATTAGGAGAGAGCCAACAAGTTTCAGAGCCAATATATGACAGACTGCAGGTTATGTTTCTTGCTAGCAGATGACCTTGGTCAAATCATTAAGCAATCTGGATTTTCAGTTGTGTTATCTGCAACAAAATTGTGTGGGGCCAATGGATTTCAGAGGTTCCTTTCCCTCTTAGTATTAGACGATCTCACTATCCCTCAGTGTGGGTATAAGGACCTTTCTTCATGATCTGGCCCCTAATGACCTCTCCAGACTCATATTCTACCTCTCCCGCAACAGGTCTCTGAACCACACAAACCACCAACAATCTGTGCAAGTCAGACAATAAGAGGAGTCTAGTGAAGAACCGTAAACACGAAGTTGCATCAGAGTAAAGCTAGGTATCTTACATCAAGATACCAAACCAGTGATTTCTCACATATAAAGTAACACATCTGGAGAAATTTCAAACTCATTAACTGACTATAGCATCAAACTGAACACTAGAACACAAATGAGAAACGAAAAGCAATCAAGTTGCATATCCTTTTATATATGGTTAAAATGAGTTTAAGCTGAATAATTAGTAATTAAGAATGACAGTAATCACTTCATTAAATTAAGTCACGGAGGTCGAATAAGGACCATGTTGCAGATGAGAAGATTTAAAAAAGAAAAGAAACAAAGTGAAATCTGATATTCCCTATTCTCCAGAACCCCGCAGCTCAAAACATCGGATCACAAGGACTCAGAATGTGGCAGGGAAGAGCACTTCCGCAGTCAGAGGGATTCGCTAGAAACCGCAGCCTCCACTTACTGAATATTATCGCTGCTCTGGGGAATCTTCAAGCTCGGCCATACATGGCCTCAGGGGGAGCCCAGGAGAGCGCGGCGCCGTCTGGACTGAGAACCTTCACCCGTGGGAAGGTGGAGTGAGGTGGGAGACAGGTGGACACGAGAGAAGAAATGTGCTTGTCTTTGGGGCAGAAGCAATGAGGAAGAGAAAGGACAAATTAAGGCAGAGAAAAGGCCTTGCGAAACAACGAATCCCGATCTAGGGACCAAGGCACCCTGATTCCCACCTGCCTTGGGGCTCTGGCCTACCGAGTGGCCTTCGACAGATACAGTCGCTTAGCTTTTCTGGGCCTCAGCTTTCCTATCTGTAAAGTGGAGTCGATGACGGCGTCCACATCGTCAGGCTGGAGCTGGATCACAAGAGCCAGCGAAAGGGAACGGCGTTTTATAACCCGAAAGGCTTGGGATGCAGCATCGTCATGATCACGGTCCCGAGGAGAGCCAGCGGGTACCGGGCGCGGTCCAGAGCGGTGACGCGGCTGAGGCGCCTGGGCAGCTGATGAGATGCGCCGGGGCCCCGCTCGTCGGCGTGCTCCCTTCAACACCTTCTCCCGAGGGTTCCCACCGCCCAGGCCCACTCTCGTCCTGGGGCTTGAGAAACTTTTGCCTCCGGCTCGCGGCACCCGCACTTCCTCTCAGTTCCCGCCCCGCAGCGGCTCACTCACCTCCCCGGCCAGGGCTGGCTGGGGCCGCATCTCTATGGTTGACAGAGGCTGGAGCGGCCTCCCGGGGCTTCCTTTGTGCGACCGCCTCTGGCCCAGCTGCCTCCAGGACATCGGCCATGTTTAGGCCGCTCACTCTTCCTCTTGCCCTCAGGCCGAGTACTCTATGATTTTTCCTCTAGCGTTTCTCCCCACCCACCGGCCTTGAAGCCCAAGGAGTACCATCGAGAGTTGTGGGGCAGAGTGGCAAGGCCTTCTTGGTGGGTGTGGCGGGAAGTAGAAATTAAGTCACGGAGGCGGGGACGGTGAATTCGGGGGCGGGGTCAAGCGGAACTTTCCTCAAGTGCGGAGGGGTGAAACCACCGAGATGGAGGGCCAGAGAGTCATGGCGGTAAGGGGGTGGTAAGGGGGCGGGGTGACGGATTATTCCAAACCACGCGACTGGAAGAGCTAGCTGGGGTGTTGAGGGGGGTCGGGAGGGGCTCTGGGTGTCTGGCAAGGACCGGGAGGCGGGGGGAGTTTTGACTCTGGCCTTCCATGCATAGGTGTCTTGGAATTGTGGATCCCAGCTCTGAGCCTCAGCCGGGGTCACTGCTGTCAATTCACCGCCCTGCGTGCCTGCGTGCCCAAAGTGGCAGGGGTTGGGGGTCGAAGGAGAGGTGTACTAGAAACAATTTGGTCCCTCTCCTTCAGGATCTTATTGTCTGCAGTTAGGCCCAGTCACATTTTATTGGAGAGAATTCGGGAAAGGCTCGGTGGAGGCAGTATCAGATGGGCAGGATTTCGAGAGAATGGAGGGAATAAAGAATGGTTATTCCGCGCCAAGAGAACTGTAGTGGCAAGGGGATGGGAGATTATTTGTATATTTGGTTGAACAGGGAGTATTACGAGCTAAACCATGGAAGATAGGTGGGCAATGTGTTGTAGAGGGCCATGAGTACCAGACTGAGGAGTTTGTAGCCAATACAGAGCTCTGTTGGGAGCCAGCCATTGAAGCAAGGAATGTGAAAGAATTGAAACTCATCTTTATGAATTAAAATCTGTACCTCTTTGGGAGACCGTGTTGTTGATAACACCAAAGTCAGGTGTTTGGATCACCATACTGGCCTGCTGCCAAAGCGGGGGAAAAGATCTGGACCTCTGTGTAGCTGTTTGGTGAAGAAAGGTGGAGACTCCTTAAAATACCATTTCAAGGATTAAATTTTAATTTAATTTTATTTTTTTCCTTTTTTTGTCTTTTTTTACTGACCGGTAACGGGATCGCAACCCTCGGTGTTGCGCCCGCACCTCGCTCAGCCAGTGAGCGGGAACCGGTCTCCACATGGGATCCGAACCCTCGGTGGGAGCGCCGCCACACTCCCAAGCGGAGCCCTCTCCAGTGCGCCACCGGCCGGCCCTAAATTTTAATTTTAAAGAGACAGTTTAGGTGGGAGGTAATAAAGGTCTAAACAGGACATTAGGAATGGGCATGTAAGGGAGAGGATATTTGGGAGACAGTGCTCATTGTAACAAAATATGGGGTTACTGACAGGTCAATGTAAGAGTCACCCCTGTTGACTTCAGCCACTGGGCCCCTTTCTATCTGAGATGGTCCCAGAGACCACAAAATTTCTATCCGTCCATTATCCTGATGTGAAGCCAGTTACTGGTCTCTCAGTTTGAAGGAATCTCCAAACATGGGAAGGACAAAATGGGATAAGGGGCCTGGAGTCTCAGCACTTGCATTCCATCACCACCTCTGCCCCACAAAAGGATATTTCTGTAGCACACAGTCGTGCTGACATGTCCTTCTTGCTTTTGTAGGTGGGAGTGGGGCGGGTCTGGAGAGGTATTGTGGTGTCCAGTTTCTCAACTAATTGCTTGCTTTGTCCCATCTCCACTGCTCCCCACCCCTAGGTTTTGATAACGCCTCACGGCCTGTAAAGTTTGGTGTTTCCCTTTCAAGATGCCGCTTGCAGACTTCATTCTGGCCCTGAAGGACAATCCCTACTTTGGGGCTGGATTTGGGCTGGTGGGTGTGGGCACAGCCCTGGCCTTGGCCCGGAAGGGTGCCCAGTTGGGCCTGGTGGCATTCCGGCGTCATTACATGATCACACTGGAAGTCCCTGCTCGAGACAGGAGCTATGCCTGGTTGCTTAGCTGGCTCACCCACCACAGTACCCGTACTCAGCACCTCAGTGTTGAGACTTCATACCTTCAGCACGAGAGTGGCCGCATCTCCACCAAGTTTGAATTTGTCCCCAGCCCTGGAAACCACTTTATCTGGTAAGGTTGGGAGCCAGGGAGGTCTCTGAGAGTAGAAAAGGAGAAATAGAGCTGGGTTTGATCCATTCACGTACTCCCTTCTGACCATTCTTATTAGGTATCGGGGAAAATGGATCCGGGTAGAACGAAGTCGAGAGATGCAGATGATAGACTTGCAGACGGGGACTCCTTGGGAATCTGTCACCTTCACGGCCCTGGGCACTGACCGCAAGGTTTTCTTCAACATCCTGGAGGAAGGTGTGGGATGGCACAGGCAGGCTTTATAGGGGGGTTACAGGGATGGAGATATTTGATGTCAGAGGAAGAACAGCTTGGAGAGTAGTAAGAGGATCTTAGCCCACAGGAGCAGGGGGCCAGAAGGAGGCCATTTTGGCACAGCTCTACATAATTGAAGACTCAGCCATGGTGAAGAGAATTCTTGGCTTTCTCTCATTTCTCTCATTTCCCCCCCTCCCAGCTCGAGAGCTAGCCTTGCAACAGGAGGAAGGGAAGACTGTTATGTACACAGCTGTGGGCTCTGAATGGCGCCCTTTTGGCTATCCACGCCGGCGGCGGCCACTGACTTCTGTGGTTCTGCAACAGGGTCTGGCCGACCGAATTGTCAGAGACATCCGAGAATTCATTGATAACCCTAAGTGGTACACTGACAGAGGTGAGAAGCAGCTGGGAGGAGCTTGGCTGGGCTTCTTTTGACATGTTGTTAGAGCAGGAGGAGACAGGCTGGTCTCTGGCAAGGTGGTGCGATGTAAAGCTCTAGCCCACCTCCCAGAGATGTACGGGAAGGAAAAGTTGCCTATGGGATGATTTCTTTCCTCGAGGGGGCAGGGCTGGGAATGAATGTGGACATCTGGGGCAAAGTACCTGAATCATTTTAGGTCTTGATCATACTGGCTGTATCCCTAGGCATTCCCTACAGACGTGGCTACCTGCTTTATGGGCCCCCTGGTTGCGGAAAGAGCAGTTTTATGTGAGTAGAGCCAAAATTTCTCTTAATTCTGCAAAACTTAGCTTTTGTGAAAAAAACTAGGCTGATGTGGTCTGAAAGGGAAATGTTTCTGGAGAACAGGGACCAATATGAACGTGAGACATGTGGAACATTAGGGTGAGTGGTGGAAGTTAGGCCTCTGAGACACACCTCCCAGGACTGTGAGCAAAGATCACTTTGGCCAAGGAAGAATTCCCAGATTGCCTACCACCTCCTGTCATCCCATCTTCCACAGCACAGCCCTGGCTGGGGAACTGGAGCACAGCATCTGCCTGCTGAGCCTCACAGACTCTAGCCTCTCCGATGACCGGCTCAACCACCTGCTGAGTGTGGCCCCGCAGCAAAGCCTGGTGCTCCTGGAGGATGTGGATGCTGCTTTCCTCAGTCGAGACTTGGCTGCAGAGAGTAAGTGAGGGGTGCTGAGGGAAGAGGAGTGGTTCTAAATGAGGAACAGTGGAAGTGGAAATCCACAGGGTTGACAGAGTTGCCTGAGTTAGCAATAAGAGCCCACAAGAGGTACTAAGTAGAGGAATATATTGGGGAGTTGAGGGAGATGCTAATTTTAAGCAGGGCTATGACCACCCATATTTGTTTATTTCTGCCTTCCTCCAGACCCAGTAAAGTACCAAGGTCTAGGTCGTCTCACCTTCAGTGGACTACTCAATGCCTTGGATGGTGTGGCTTCCACTGAGGCACGCATTGTGTTCATGACCACCAACCATGTTGACAGGTAAGAAGGGAGTGAAGACTGAGAGGCAAGACTCCACCCCCTCAGTGCCTTGGAAAGATCAGGAGGTTGAGGGGACCATCTTTTTTTCGGCTACTAGTGCGACTATTGCCTTGACTCTGCTTTCCCCGTCTTCTCCTAGGCTGGACCCTGCTCTGATACGCCCTGGGCGAGTAGACCTGAAGGAGTACGTGGGCTACTGTTCATACTGGCAGCTGACCCAAATGTTCCAGAGGTTCTATCCAGGGCAAGCCCCTTCCTTGGCTGAGGCCTTTGCAGAACATGTCCTTCAAGCTACAACTCAGATCAGTCCTGCCCAAGTGCAAGGCTACTTCATGCTATATAAAAACGACCCTGCAGGTGCAATTCACAATGCTGAGTCTCTGAGGAAGTGATCGACCAGGCTGTGCTCAACTCTTCTCTAGGAAATCAATAAACACCTGCCACACTACTCTGGTTGGTGACCTCCCTTCATCCCTCAGTATATTGGTACTTGAGTAAAAAGCAGGGGCTGCAATCACAGATGCCTACAGGGGTCAGTCAGGCAACTACATATACAAATGATTGGGGGCATAGCCTAAGACAAAGGGGAAGAGACAGTAAACAGGAAAATATATCCCTCCATCTAAAGGCATTCAAATAGAAAATATATACGAGTATATAAATGTGGGTGCACACATAATAGGTTATATATTACGGTGGTTACTAAGGATTCTACTCATACTAGTTTTCCCTGAAACCCACTATTCTAGCTGATGAGATATCAGACCCTCTTTACCCATATCTCTTGGGAGAAGAGACTTCAGAGCAAAGTTGAGGTCTGCTCTGCTGGACTCTAATCTTGCTAGGAATTTAGAAAAAGAGCCATAACTCAAAGGCTAGGCACTGCTGAGCAAAGAAAGCCAAACAAGGCCAAATATCTTTATTTTCCCCTTCCCAACCCCAATTCCCTGTCCACCCACAGTACTGCTAGGAACCATCCTCAGATTCCAGGCCCATAGGCTCCCTCCGATTACCAGACCTGTATCCTCCCCGGCCCCGAGGCAGGCGAGGGTAGGAGGAACCTTGTATCCGGCCTTTGGAGCGCTCCCATCGAGCACAGTCCCGAGTCCTGCGGGATGGGGAGTCCTGCCAGCTGCCAGGCCCCTTTTCTTGGGGTGGACCTTCAACCCCTTGGTTATGGGGTTCTGGCTTTAGGTCCACAGGCTCCTTGAAGGGCCCCTCGGGAGGTGGCAGTTCCTGGGTGTCACTGGTACCTTTGGGGGCACAGCATTCCCCTCCCTTCCAATGCCTCTGTTCCAGCTGTCGCCAGGGGCCTCGACTAGGCTGGGGGGGATCTAGCACAGCTTTCTGGGTCTTCCCCAACCTCTGCTGATTTGGCCCAGCCCCTGGAATCTTCTCACACATGTACTGGGTGGCAACAGGCAGAGGAGTTGGCAGGGTGGGTTGGGCAGTTGGTGAGGTGGACAGTTCTGCTGCAAGGGCACTGGGTGGGTGGGATCCTCTGGAGACATCTACAGTTGACTCAGGTTCCACAGGGGCAGGAGGCTAGAAAGAAGTGAGGCAATGGAGGGAGGGAGATGCAGTTGCTCAAAGCAGGGAACTGCAGGCCCCTCTCCTACTGCCTGAGCTCACCCTTAGGGCCACGGCACAGTGGTGTTCATAGGAAGGCTGGTGGCACTGCAGGATGAATGAGAAACCCTTCCCTCACCTGCTGAAGGCTGATGAAGTACCGGTTCCGCTCAGCCTCAAGGTCAATGATGCCCCCCCGCTCCTGCTGCCTCTGGTAGAGCCGCTTGCGCTCTTCTTGCTGGCGCAAGGTTTCCGCATTGGGCTGGTACAGCTCCTGGAGGAAAGGACGCAGAATGCAAGGAGGAAAGAATAGGAGAAGAAGGCAGATTTGAACCCTTACTCTTCCAGGACTGCCTCAGGAGATCTGTACAAGGTTCTTGGTTTTGTCCTTCAGATTCAGGCTCCCGAAACCTTAGCTCCCAGTGGGGGCTGTGAGACTTTGCAGGGAGGTCCTAGGCAGGTCAAGCTCAATTATAGATATCCCATTCAACGCAGACAACATGCCATTCCTCCCCCCTTTAGAGAATGCTATTGTCCCTGGCTCCAATTAGAAGGGAATCCCCTTACCATGGGCTGTTGGGGTTCAGGGGCTGCTTTCAGTGCAGCAAGATCATACACAAGGGGTTCTCTGCACACCGGACACTGTACACCGACTGCCTTCTAAAAAAGAGGAGAAATCACACCCATGCTTCACAGGCTAGTGTGCTCCCCTGGTGTTATCCCCAGTCAGACAGCCTAATCTGCAGAGGGCTATGACTGAAGGGCATAGGCATATCTGTTCAGCTATGAGAGGGGACAGAGTAAGGGAGGTTTAAGAAATCTAGGAATCCCCAAAACTGCACACAATATATAAGCATATATAAGGATGCCCTTTTTTATCCAGATGGGTGAGATTTCATTAGTCTCAAAGGTTTCTATGACCCTAAAAAGGTTAAGAGCCACTTGAGTGGTGGGATATAAAAGGCTGTGAAAGTCAGCACCTGGGCTGGCCTGTGGCTCACTCGGGAGAGTGTGGTGCTGATAATACCAAGGCCACGGGTTTGGATCCCATATAGGGATGGTCGGTTAGCTCACTGGCTGAGCATAGTGCTGACAACACCAAGTCAAGGGTTAAGATCCCCTTACCGGTCATCTTTAAAAAAAAAAAAGTCAGCACCTAAGGGTGTCAGGTGAGAGAGCAAAGGCTGCTGAGGTCTACCTGTTTGGTTGTGGCATGCTGTCGTTCCTGTTCCTGTCCTTGTGCCTTCAGCTCTTGCTCCATGTGCTGGATGTACCGAGCAAGGCAGTGGCAGTGGAAGTAATGGTAACAGGGTGTTTTGGTAAAGGCCTCCTTCTCCTGGAGGGAGGACGGACATAGGGCACTGTGTCACAGCTCTCTCAAGAGCCCTTACCTGCCCATCCAAAGCAGATCCCAGGACCCGAGAGAGAAACCCACCTGGAAACCATAGAGGCAGATGACACACTGGCCATGGGGGATGTTGTTATCTGTGAGAATTTCCTTCCCTTTCTGAGAGGAGAGAAGACACTGCTCAAACAAGGTGGTAGGGGCAAGAATTGTAGGCAAAACAGGTCCACTACTTTCAGGAGTAACTGGCTGGACTTGACTCCCACCATGCCAGTTTGTTACCTTGTGTTTATGCATTTCTGTCTTGGTGATGCTCCCTCTGCTTGGAATCAATCCTTCTCCATGTACCCGCCCATCCCCCCAAATTTGATCTTCCTGGCTTCAAAATCCAATTTAATTGTTTTTCCTCTCATTAAGTTACTTTTAGTATATCTTGGAAATGAAAATAGTATACCTTGGAGAGAAAAAATGTTCAATTAAAACTCATCTTCAGGGAGGCCTTTCTTGATTAACCCCCTTTGTGAATTACTCCCTATGGGGCAATGAGTTTGTCTGTAGTCGGCTTTCAGAAAGAAAGTCAAGGCATGGACAACCCAAATGGACAGAGAATTCAAAATGCATTGAGTTGGGCTAAGAAATATGCATTTTTGCGTTGTTATTTGAATAGCTAATACTCTGGAGTTCCACAAAGTTCAAAGCTGCATTCTGGAGGCCTGACCTAGGAGTGCTACACTGGTCTAACAGGCCCACTCTCTTTGACTCTAGGCCACCCACCTTCATTCTGTTCTGAACATTTTTCTTAAAAATTTAAAGTAGAGGAAAATAAGACTTACTTAATTGTGTGTTTTTAATCTCAAACAACAAAAGCTATCTGTGTCTAATAACTTATAGCTCTAGGTATTGCTCCATGTGGGTTGTTTCCTTAACCAGGGTATAAACTCTTTGAGTAAAGAAACCATGACTTTCTCTAGCAATTCCAAAGGCAGGCCAGCCTTCAAATGTTCATTTATGGCTAAGATCTTCCCAGGCAAGATCCACATCTTTTGCCACTTTCAGTTGCCAATGCCAAGAGAACAAAAAATGCACTGAAACCAAAGCAAGAAAAATGCAAATTATAGAGGAAAAGTAATTTTCTGTCAAGATGCTGGAATAAATAGGCAACTCAGGGAAGCTACTGAACTGTTTTTTGGGGGAGCTTTTTTGAAATAGAAGTTTCATCTTTTTGAATTAATGTAGGCCTTACCTAAATAAGGACTAAATGAACGATTCCAGATATATTTAAGATTCTAGGCCCATGGTTTCCCTCCAGAGAAACTGCTCTAGCTTGAAGGAAAGGACATTTTCCCAGGCTATCACACCTCTTACCTCAATGAGTTCATAGAGCATGGCCGTGCCCAGCCCAGCCTTGGCCACGTGGCTCAGCACCTGCGAGATCCTGGAGGAAGAGGGCAAGCCAAATATTAGGCCTGCCCCCTTCCCTTACCAGGCAGAGCTACATCCTGAGTATTCCCTACTCTGACCAGCCCAACTTACTTGTGGATCTGTTCATCTGAGAGTCCTCGGGGATTACGGATAGCGATCTGTGGCACTTCATGGGGATACTAGTGGGGGAAAATAACAAGTTACTGCTAAAGTGATCTACCCCAGGGACTCTCCCCTTCCTCCTCTGCCATAGAATAGGAACCTCACCTGTGCTGGGACCTGAAGCACCAGAGTAAAGCAGACATACTGTGAATCCTGGTCTTCTGCAGTGGCAGGGTGCAGAGTGATGTATATCTCCCATGGTGAAGATCTGCAGGTAGATAGACCCAGAATGTGACTGGGCAGAGGCTTAAGGCCTGAGGAAGATGGGAGTAAGACAGTAAAGTGGACAGAGGAAGTGAGCATTGGACTCTTTCTTTCAGGGGGGATTGAAGGAATAACTTTTGTCTCCATGAGAAAAACATTATCTCTGAATCAAGGCTCACAGTGTCTTAAGACCGGATTCTGCATAGAATCCTCTCCTCATTACTAAGAGAACTCCAGCCCACCCTTAATTGATACATACCTGCCATTTCCTTTTATCACCTGTAGTTCATCCAGATAGATAGACTCTAACACTTCGACTTCAGAGGGTAGGATCCTAGAGAGACAGGATCACCATAATAGATCACCATAATAGCTCACCATAATAGCTCTCCCTGATAAAGCCTGCTTAGAAAAACAGCAATCTGGATGCATTCTCTTGCTAAACTTTAAAATGAGGGAAATATTTCCTTAAGTTGTCAAATGGCCAGGTAGGAAGCATGGGAATCAGAATTTTAGAGATCATTTCTGCCAACATATGAGGAAACGGATTCCCAGAGAGGTGAAATGGTGAAATGACTAAGGCTTAACACAGATAGAACTGAGACCAGAGCCACATTTCCTGACTCCCTGTTTAAGTTTCATTCCACTGTTGGTTATCCCTTAGTGGTCATCTCTCTGAGCCAAAAATATGGCATCCATTCATTAGCATCAAGGTTAACAATACTACTCCTGACCTTCCCCATACC